ATATTCGTTTAGTTTAATGGACCATACTGCTTTCATGTTTTTCCAAGAAGGATTTAGCATCAGAGTTAAAGTTAAAAGTCGGTAAAAAAAAAAAAAAGTTAAAAGTCGGGTCAGATGAATGCTAACCACACTTCCTTCCTTCAAAGGAAGTTTGCGGTTCTAAATGCTGCGTAAAGGGTTGTGAAAATACTGTAGCTAAAATAGCTGAGCTCTAAAGATGTCTCATCTATCTCTGTTTTATCAGCAGGAACTGAGAACGCTCCATTTCTAACATCACTTTTTTCAGCGTTGGGTGTCGTGTTGATCTTCCTGCTCGTAGGTTTTTGGTGAGTTTGTATGTTTTTGAGGTTAAAGTCTGCAGCACACAGGGACACTTCATCCATGTTCTATCAGTCTGACTACTTCATTTTTTACAGGTTTTTAAGGAGAAAACATCGACCTGCACAAAAGTCTGCGGTAGGTTTATTACCACACTGCTGTTACCGTACATGAAGCATCTTCACAATTAAAAGATTTATCATTATCCGCTCCTTGCTTACCTGCGACAGAACCCTCCTGAGGAACAAATTTATGAGATGGTGGCAAGTGAAATGGAGAAAGAGGTCCACTATGAGGATCCTAACGTGTTAGTGATCGGACCCAAGGCTTCCTCCATGGATAGCAGCACGCAGCAGCAGCAGGAGACGCTTTACACAGAGGTCAAAATCTCCAAGAAAAAGAGACAGACTGCTGAATGCCCAGAGCCCATCTACTCACAAGTTAAAAAAAAACATTGATCTGTCCTGTATAAAAACTCTTTCTGTCTGTAAGACGTTTCCTTCATGTCAGGAAACACAGAAAACAACTTTTTATTTTACTGTTTAGTGTTTGCCGACAGAGAGATCTAACCTTTTGCCACCAATAACACTTTTATTTTTGTATGATAAGGAAAACTTTAAAAGTGTCAGGATTTGGTGTTGGATTGAGGACCCAAAGGCAGAGGTGAATTTAGGTGGGTTTAATGAGGTTGACAGGAACTGAGGCAGGAATCAAAAATCCAACAGAAATAACAAACGAACCAGAACCAGGAAGACATCAGGGGAAAACCAAACTCTAGGAGCCAGGGAGAGACGAGGTAAGCAGACAGACGTTAGACGAGGATCCAGTAAACAGGAACTGAAGAGAGGGAGGGCTTTTAAAGGGGACAGAGACAAAGAGAGGGCTAACGAGGGGATTGAAAACAGGTGAGGACAGAGCAGAAAACAGAGCAAGGGAAAGAGGACACAAGAGGGCAGCAGAGGACAACAAATGGAAAACCTGGAAGACAGGAACTAACAAACCAAGACTGTGACAAAAAGATCTCTTATTTTTGTTTCTACTATGCCTCAGAAATCTAGTGTTATTGTAAGTAATCAATTAATAGAAGAACCTAATCTTGATGCATTAGATAAAGTGTTGATAGACTTCTATTCATTGTAGATCTGATATTGATGCCATTTTACAATAATGCTCCCTTACATAGTTCAATCCAATCCAATCCACTTTATCTATATAGCACGATTTCAATAAACACAAGGTTTCCAAAGTGCTGCACAAAAAAGATAAAATAACTAAAATAAATAAAAACAAATAAAAGTAAACAAAATAAAATAAAAGCACTGCCCGCACAGGATAAAAATATGCATGTGTATACATAAAATCAACATGTATATACATAGTTGTTATATTATAATAGGAAATTGTTGATAGCACATAACAAATGCTAAAAAATATGTTTACAAATGCTTATTGTGCTCACATTGTGGTCATTTACTCTGAAATGTTGAATGTAAATAAATAAAACTAGATAAACTACACAGTGAACAGATCAGGCTAACTATTTAGCAAACTGGTTAGCCTTTCATCGT